CCTAAACCCAAAACCCCCAAACCCCGAATCCCCAAAACCGAAAACCTACTCGAACTATTCGGGCCCCTAGATCTGTCTATTTATCTATCGATCGATCTATATATCTACCTATATATGCGTATGTAAAGGTAGACATATATGGGAGGTCACTCGTCTGTTCTGCAGCCACAAGGGCGTCTGCCAACTCCACCTGCTCTGCGAGAAGCTGACCCACGCCCTCTGAAGTTTGTCTCTGCCTGGAATGGTGTAGGGTTGCGGTTAATCCCACCCCACTACGAGCTTTGGGTTCAGGAGTTTTAGACTTAGGGCGACAGCAACAACAACAGCAACAGTGATGACTAGAAAGTACGACAGTCGTATTCCCTAAGATTCCATGTGCTCAAATAGCCTTTACTTTGGCCTTAGAGTAGTCTCTATATCGGCACTATCGGGCCGATGTATATACTGTTTGGGCACATGGACCGTTAGGGATTGGCGACCCCGAACCCAGGGAAAGCCGAACGTAGAGTACCAAGACTGCAAGTAGTGGCAGTAGACAAGCCCAGAGTTCCGTGAATCGTGAGGGCTTAGGTTTCGAGTCTAGAGTTTGGGTTTAGTTTAAGGCTTAAGGCATAGGATGACCGATCTCGTAATGACGCCCCTTTGTTAAGGATATTCTGTCTGCGCACCCCTCGGACCTGTATACTAGTAACGCGCATCCCATCCCTGCCGCTCTGTGACGAAACGAAGACGAAGATCTTGACATGTTTACCCAAAGGCTCCATGTACTCATATAGTATATACTTAGGCCTTAAAGGGGTTCCTATATAGGTACTTTAGGGTCTAAGTATATACTATTTGGGTACATGGAGCCTTTGGGTTAGTCCTTCAGTGATGTTGCTGCCTCGCCTGGAGGTTGTCCGGGTTCGGGGAGCAGAGTTAAAGCTATTTCGAGTGCTTGCTCGCGCTTACATGTGTACCTGAACCCCATAAAATCTAGCCTTATAGGGCTCCCTCTTATAACTTCCTCTTATATATATATATATACATGTATAAGTCCTTAAGAAGGTAGGTTATCTGGGGTTCTGGTATAGTGCTTAGGCTTGCTGAGATCTGAGGGTTTTCCGAATCCGGCGGCCAACGTCTCACTTCAAAGTGAACCGTGTCAGCTGGGACAACATCAACATTCGAGCAAACCGCTTCTGAAAATTGAGGCGATATCAATATTCAGAAGGAACCGCTCAATGCATGACACGGTATCCATTCAGCGGCGGTCCGCTGCAGGGCAGCATGCCCGCTGCAGGGAAGCATGCGCGGACATTACCATTCCATCTATATATGAGTCTCGAGAGTCACGACTTTGGCAAAGACCACGCGGGCTTTCCGTCCTCTTTCTTAACCAACCTGCTTTCCTTAAGAAGGGCGTATAGAGTAGGATTCACGTCGGCTGCCCTCTCCAGGCCACACTTGCGTGCAATGCTGATAGCGGTCAGCGGAACACCGTTTGTGGCTAGGATGGTCAGAATGTTTTTCACCAAGGGGCTGTCAGTGGCTTTTACCATGGCATTGTCACTGCGCCGCACCTCTTCTGGCGCATTCACATCAGGCAGCATGGAACCACGATACCCCTGCGCTCGCTGTGTTGGCTGTGGCTCTGCCCTCGATGCTAGCTTCCACAAAGGCTGCTGGTCATTCCAACATTTTTCAACTTTTCCAGCACCTTCCAAACGGTAGAGCATCGGGTTCACATCCTTCGCAAACTCCAGCGCGCACTGCCGTGTCACAGCAATGGCAGTCACGGGGTGTATGGCCTCATCAAGAACTCGAAGAATTCGCGCCGAAAGCTCGGCTGCAACAGCCTCGGAGACGCCACCTTAGGTGTCCTGTATCCTAGGGAAGCTAAAGGCTAACCTTTGGGGTCATATAGGAGCTATAATATGTAAATAATAATAATGATGATAATGATAACAATAAAAATCATAATAATCATACTTTTAATAATAATAATAATCATAATAATATTATTTTAAATAGGAAAATCACAATGATGATTTTTATTATTATCTTTTTATTCGTAATAATAATAGTATATGAATATATATATATATATATTTATAATAGTGATAAAAATATGGATGATAATAATAGTAATAAAAACTATTGTCGTTCTTATTATTATTACTACTACTACTATTATTATTATTAGTGTCATTATTAGTAGTAATATTGCTACTACTACTACTACTATTATTATTCTTATTTTTACTATTAGTAAATTATTATCTTTTTGACTGTTATATATGTATTGGAGCTATAATACCCCAAAAAGGTTAAAGGTTGCCTGCTCAACAACAGAGCCACTCAAGCTGTCTGTGGCAGAGTAGGGCAAGCTGCTCTCCGTTTCCACATCCTCCACTCCTCTGGGCTTTGTCCCTATACGCCTATGAAGGGCTCCTTTAAGGGATCTATAGGGTGTGGGGTTTAGGGATTAGGATAATTCCCTTAATTAAGGAATATATACCTTTTATCAATCAATTTGGGATCCTGCTACAATTCAGGGCATATTCATGTGCATTGCAAGGTCTGTGTACCGATTTCCCGACAAAAAACACAATGCACTCACGGGTCTCAGTCGAAAGCTTCTCAAGATCCTAAGCCCCAAAAGCCTACCTATAGAGTCTCCATGGTAGTTCCTTTTTTGGGTTTAACCAAGTTTCTATTAAGGATCCTATAATTATAAGGTAACCCACAAGGGGAACTGCAATGGAGACTATAGGTAAAGCTCCAGCTCCGCACCCCAACAGCTTCCAGTTCGCCTGGGGCTTCTCCACATAAGGGGCAAGGGCCCCAAGCACAATCACGGCACATCGTGTAGTGCCCTTCGCGGCCTGCACACAAAGGTGATCCGCATGTCCGCCTGAAGGGCACTCCTAAACGGTATCGGGCATAACTTAAAGGCCTCGGTGACAAAAGGCGGGGCTTTCGGGACACATTCTACTATGATTCTACATGATCTTACCTGAACCTCAACGAAATACTGTTGCGACTCATGCAGGCCTCTTTAGCAGGGCTTAATTACGGCTTTTGGGAGGTGATTGTTGAGTTTAAAGGTGTTGCGATGAAAGGTGGGCAATACCTAAGCTCTGTCAGTAGTGTCATGACCACGGTAATGGAAACCTAGGTAATATAAGGGCCTTAATAAATAAATAGAATAGGGTTTGGGATATATTCTACTATTATTATAATAAGGAACCCACAAAACCCTATTCTAAGTATTAAAAAGGCCCCTACATTACCCAAGCTCGTCGGCGACGTTCGCCGGGCGAGGCCCTTAGGACCATGTGAATATCTTCAGTCTTAACGCCTCGGGTCTAAAGTAAAGCAAGGGATTTAGCTTAGGTTCGGCTTCGGGTTTATTGAAGGCTGGCAGGGTTTTTCAGATTCTTGCAGCTTCGGGTATTTCGCTTACTGCTTCTAGGGCATGGGACTCTTTCACTTGAGGGCTTATGGCTGAAAGCTCAGTTTGGTTGGGGGGTCCAAAGACTACACATTTCGTGCAACTTCGGAAGTGAAGTCGCCCAAGTCTTCGACTCTTAGGGTAGGTTGCAAAAGTGCAAAGAACCCGAATGGTTATGGCAGTAGGCCCCTGATTGGAAAATCCTTGACTTACTCTTAAACAAATAAATAAATACATACACATACATACATACATGCATGCATGCATGCATGCATGCATGCATGCATGCATACATGCATACATATATATATATATAAGTTCATATATATATATATATGTATGTATATATATTAAACAGACCAGCTTTGGATTTGGACACTCTCTGCCTTAGGATGCCTCTCTTTGGGCACCGGAAGCAAGTCTCAAAGCCGTCATGAGTCCGCACGTTGGCAGTCGAAGAAGGGGTGGACATGTCGCGATCTCTGGCACTCCAGTTGCACAATTCCTGCCTACCCCTTGAAGCTCAGGTTGACTAGCTGTATAGTGGACGAATTTGCTTAAGTCATACCTGTGTTAAAAAAGTGTATTTATGCCTCTTTGCTGTCTGTCTGCATGTCGGTATGTCTGTATGTATCTATACATATATATATATATGTACTTTACCTGTCTGTATGTATGTATGCCTGCATGAACGTCTGTCTGTATGTATGTATGTATGTATGTATGTACCAAATACGAAACACTAGTCACCAACGACGAATTCCGATATCGGCTTCATGCTAATTCAGTGAGAACCACAGAGGTGCAGCGTTGATGATTGTTTAGGGTTTATCGAGTTGAGGACCCAAACATCAAACGTGAGAAATTAGCAGGCTCCTTTGTATAGCCACTCGCGAAAAACAACCCGATGTTGGATCTCACCAGTCACTACGTGTTGTCTCATTCTTGGTTGCCCGACAAGCGGAGCAGGGCAACCGAACCAGGGATGTCGACAATGGCTGAGCCCTTCCAAGTCGAAGTCATGCGGCTCATGCCATGAGCATTCAAGCGTACTATTGCGAGGGTCTTTCCCTAAGGTCCAACGGACTTTGAAAATCAGGTGCTTATTTTAGGATAGTAATTTTGCTAAGTTCGTATTTGGGAGAGTATGGAGTACTTCGACTCTGAGGGTTTATGAGTAATTGGAATACGGCTTTGTCGCAGCTGGGATTTATTATGAAGTGTTCTATGGAGGGTTGTTTGGGCTTCATGTTTACAAGTTTGGGAAGCTTATGTAGCTTCAGGTGCATGCTTCTGTTTGGAGTGAGGATTAGTAGGATGTATGCACCTTTTACGGTTGGGGTTTCTAAGCAGGAATTCTATGTCTTTTTTCGAAATTAGGGCAATTAGGATGTGCATTTGTTGTTGAATCTGAATTAACAGTTGATCCTTTGAGGGCACCTGGTTTGGGTGTAGGCTAGCGGCTAGAGGTCAACAGATTCATCTCAGGCGTAAGCTGCAGTTGTAGCCAACCCTCCAAAACATCCAAGCCCTCCTCAACACCAATGAAGCTACTGAACCCTGAACCGTAAATCCTGAACCCTGAAACAACCTTGAAGCCCAGCTATAGAACCGAACCCCCTCCCCCCCCCCCTCCCCCCCAAAAAAAAAAGTCTGATAATACACCCTAAATCCACCTTTGTCTCAAAATACGTAGGTAAGCATCCTTCATCCGAGCTGGAACCCTCAACCCCCTGAACCCGGCTCCTGAACTCTAAACCCTAGCTTCAAAAAGTGCTGGCCAGCGACTTTGAAGGCTCATGTGGCTGCTCGGAAGGGAGCCGATTCCGCTCAAGGGCCTCCGCAGCTCTGCCACTGACCTTTCTTAGACCTGTCTTAGACCTTAGCAGGGGCTCGGGTGGGTTGTATTTAGGAGTTCCCGGTTGCCAAAGATTTCTTAGACACTCAAAATGCTAGGGTACTGGTTGTTGCGCCTCCTTTTGTTGAAACTTCCTTGGTATTTTACGGTAGTGACGTATGCAGGTCACTGGATCAGGTGGACAGGGTCCCGGTTTTTAGGATTCAGGATCCAGGGGGTCAGGGATGCGACCAGGGTTTAAGGCTTTACGCAATTTGTGATGTACGGCTTCGGCATCTGAATGAAGTGGTTAATTGAGTAGCCAATCATGTAACAGTTCAAGTCTTGCTTGAGTATCGAGTTATGTAACATTTGCACGCGTATTTACACATGCATATATGCCATTATAGGCAGTATCAAAGGTTAATGTGTTCTAACATCATACTGTTTCACACCGGTGTGCACAGATATATTTATGTACGTATGTATGCATGCACGTATGTACGTATGTATGTAACTAGTTATGACCAGTGAATAGTGGTGCGGGTTCTTGTACTGCCCCTTATTGCCGTCCTCATGCTGAAACATTCGGACGTAACTTTCTTGTGGCCAAAAACACATCAAACGAAGGCTGAGCACTTTGTATATAATCTTTCGGGTTCAGGGGTTAGGGATGTGAGTTCAGAGATGCCCTCCAGGACTTGGAGAATTGTAGCCTGTTTGTGACCCTGGGCAAGTTACTGTGACTGACGGTCATTGGTTAGATCTTGGTCGCAGCAGCCAGCGCATGCTTTGAACCTTTGGCTGTTTTCTTCAGAAAGTGCATCGTGCATACGACATCATCCTGAACTCTAATCCCTAAACCCTATCCAATCACAACGGTCTGCAGTCTGGTCACAGTGAGCAATACCTTGGAACCAGACTTAGAATCCTTAACAAGTCTGTGGACTTGAGACTGTAGACTCATCTGAATGTTAGAATAAGGTTGACCTGTAGTCTCCATTGCACTTCCTTTTTGGGGCGGATCCAAAAATACAAAATTGGCTAAACCAAACAGAAGGAACTAGGTCCGCGGCGCTTAGGTGTACGTGCTTTTTTGGGCTAGGCGAATAACTTTCAAGGGTTAGAAACATGCTGAATGTAGTGTTTTTTTTTGCGAGGATTTAGACCAGGTTCTCGAACGAGTAGTGTAGAAGAAGCACTACTAAGGGGGGAAACAGGCAAAATCGTGGTTTCGCCTAGGGAATTCGTGTATTTTCAGCTTGTTCAGAATGCCTGAAACTACTTTGCGC